CCCCATGTTGGGTGCAGAGATTACTTAAAAATAAAATTTAAAAAATTCCCACAACAACAGAACTGTTGCCAGGGCAAAACTGTAAGATGATCATATTATACGGAGAAAAGTGGCAGTTGGGACACTCATCCTTGGGGAACCTACAGCAAAGAATTCCACAGCACCATGTCTACAGGCCTAAGGCATGAGAGTGCTAGGTTAAAACTCAAGCATCCTAAGCCCCCATCCTGAGACCTAGGGTGTCTCTATTTCCACAGTACTTGTGACTGGGGTGGAGTTGAGGAGGGAGGAGGAGAAAGTGTCCCCTGTCAGTCCCAGGGTCACTCTGACACCCAGCTCACTTCTTATTGGGCGTTTCAGCAAAGCACTTGAGGGAAGATGTCTCCACCACCGTCTCACAAAACGTGACAACGGGATCAGCCACCTGGGAAACAGAATAAATTGTTAGGCAAGATCTAATTTTGTTGGAAGGACAACATTCTGCCAAAGGGAATTCTGAGGTTCCCTTGGCACTACCTTTGTGACAAACCCCTGTCTTAATCTGCATCAGCAATGAGTACAATAGCAGGTGAGAAGTCCTTACCAGCACTAAGGAGACTGAGAAAACTTCGCGGAGTGTGGAGTTTCTGTTCCTGAGCCAAGAGTACGTGGGAGTCAAACCTGGGCCTAAAGTATCACCCCCCAAGGATGCTTTCAAGGTCTGTTCAGCCGTCCCACAACCACTCACTTAGCACCTCCCGTGGCTCTGTCACAGCTGACACTAGGGACTGACTGGCGGGATCCCCTTCCACTCTCAACACCTGGCTCTGAGTAGCAGAGCTCCTCCCTGAAGCTCCCACGTGGCCAGCCACCAGGGAACTCAGTATCTTCTAGACCACCAGTCCTGGGCACCTCAGGAAGAGGATCTAAGAGGGATACTTGAGGGTGCTCTCTCCCACCACCACAGGAACTGGGAGAAAACGGGTACCATCTAGGAGACTGGGGCCATGCAATGGGCACTTTAATCAAGGGGCCATGTCACAACCTAACGACAAATCCAGGAGAACCAGTTCTCACTCTCTCCCTGAAACCCTCCGCTGAGCCCTAATCACCAAAGATGGGTTAACTGTATAACTGTTTCCTTAACAAAAGACCAAGAATCACTTTGGCTTGGGAGCCTGGACTTTAAACTATGACACAGAGAATAACCCTGTAGAAAGGGGCAAACCAGATCTCAAATACCTTCCCAGATAGGGAGCAATAGGTCATGCTTTTCCCTAACATGTCTCCTCCCCAATAGGGCCCCCCTCTTCCCTCAGGCCTTCCAGGGGAATCAAGGGTTTGGTTGCTTATAAAATCAGTCTGGAGCCATGAGTCAAGCTCCTGGCCAGGCGGGTACTCAAGAAAGAGGATGCTGATTTACCTTGATGTCGATCTCTGAGTACATCTTCCGTAAATCGTGCATCACACAGTCGAGGTACAGCTCCCCAGTACCCAGAATCACGTGCTCTCCAGACTCTTCCACCTGAAACATAACAGGCCTGGTGGTCATAGCCTGGACCTCTTATGCCAGCAACAGCAGCTAGAAACAGAATCAATGCTAGAGCCCAGGAGGAGGTGCCCAAACCCACTATCAGAATCAGCCACTCCTCAGCATCAGTTCCAGCCTCTTCAGGAAGGATCAGTGGGGAGGTGACCAACGGGTAAATCCTCAGGACATCTGGACCATTCAGCACGGTGCTGCTGGGCATTAGGTCACCGATTTAATTTCCAGCATAACTGTTTAGGGAAAACCCTGCCCTAAGTCTATGGACATAAGCTGACCCTTTAGCCCTGGCCAGCTACTCAGAAAAGTATGCTAGCAGGCTCAAGAATGTAGAAGGATCAGAATGATCACTTTTCCTTCTATATTTTCTGGAAAATCAATTCATAGTGTATATATATATATATATATATATATATTTTTTTTTTTTTTTTAAGAAAGAAAAAAAATTATTTCCTCACAAAATGTATAACTGTGATTGTCATTAATCCCGGTCCCTAATATTTCTTTTTTTTCAATATTTATTTATTTTATTTTTTATTTCTTTTTTCTTTTTTAATAATTATTTTATTTTTATTTAATTTTATTTTTATTTTTTAAATTTACATCTAATTTGCGTAACAATGATTTGTGTGAGTAGATTCCTGCGCGTTCTCTTACCCGCTTAGCCCATCCCACTCTCCCCCCCACCTGTAACCCTGTTTGTTCTCTTCTACATTTATGAGTCTCTTCTGTTTTTATATAATTTTTGTTTCCCTTCCAAGTCTATCTGTTTTGTTCTTTAAAGTCCTCATGTGAGTGTCATATTTATCTTTCTCCAATCCACTTTCACTTCGTGATAATAATTCTCCAGTTCCATCCACGAGTTAAAAAAAATTTGGCAAGATTTCATTCTTTTTGATGTTACAAGTAATACTCCATTGTATATATATATACATCTTCTTTATCCATTCATCCGTCGATGGACATTTGGGCTTTTTCCATACTTTGGCTATTGTTCATAGTGTTAAGAACATGGGGTGCACGCGCTCCCTTCAAACAGCACCTGTATCCCATGGATGAATGCCTACAATTGCTGGGTCGAGGGTAGTTTTAGTTTTAGTTTTTTGAGGAACCTCCATACTGTTTTCCAGAGTGGCTGCACCAGCTTGCATTCCCATCAAAGTATACCTTCTAAGACACATCTCTTTCTCATCTAAAGATACTGTGGAATATGAACACATTCATGTACACTCGCAGCACCCCCCCCCCCCAAAAAACGTGTCTTGTTTTCAAATGACAGTAACAGACAGGGAATACCTGCTTTCGACACAGGCTGCTGGAAGCAGATCAGAGACAGCTGGTGGACGTGAAGCAGTGGGCGGCACAGACCTGTCATCGGGGGCAGCTATTGCAGACCTTGAACATACCTTGGTGGTGAGGGATGGATAGCTCTTGTTGACCTTGCGCAGACCGTCCAGCATCTTGGGTAGCTCTGAGGGGTTGACTGGTTCCACAGCAATCTTGATAACGGATGTGGTGTTGAACTTCAAGGGGCGGAAAATCTGAGCCTGAGATTCAAAGTGCAGAGGAGTGAGGGCACGTGGCCTGAGTAGGCACCAAAGGTACAGAGGTCAGAGAGGAGGAGACTACTCCCCAACCAGGAGCCAAAGTGCTGCTGGGAGGCAGCCTGAAGGGCCATTTATTCCCATGTAATTTGGCAGAACAAACAGCAGGGAAAAGATAAAGCAACTGCTCCTAACTCCTAGCAACTGAGTGGAGTACAGGGAGAATCGAGCTGGGTCCGATCTAGAAGCTTCGGCCTGTGCTCAGGCCCAGAACCAGGAAGCGGCAGTGACTCCGGGTTAGTACCCTGTGAGTTCCCATGGGACCCTCTAGCTTAAACTAATCCAGTTGCCTTTTCAGAAACTCTACCTCCTCATTGCCTCGGGGTTCAGTTATGGTTGCTGTCTTCACAATTGGTTGATCAACACCTTCGATCAGAACCCAGTTGCCAGCAGGAACACGGTTCACCTCAATGTGGTACCTGGGGCAACAGATGAGTGAAATAAGGAGGGGTGCCAGGCACTGAGCCAGGAGCAGGGGTGAACCAAACATACATTCCATTAGGGGAGGGGTACAACAACCAACCATGTAACCTCACATATATGTACAACTGACCCAGGAACAATGGGGCCCCAACGCCCCATGCAGTTGAAACTCCACATATATGTTCTGACTCCCCCCAAAACTTTTTTTTAAATCTTTTTTTTTTTAAATTTTTTTTTTTTTTTTAACGTTTATTTATTTTTGAGACAGAGAGGGACAGAGCACGAACGGGGGAGGGTCAGAGAGAGAGGGAGACATGGAATCTGAAACAGGCTCCAGGCTCCGAGCCGTCAGCACAGAGCCCGACGCGGGGCTCGAACTCACGGACCGCGAGATCATGACCTGAGCTAAAGTTGGACGCTCAACCGACTGAGCTACCCAGGCGCCCCATCCCCCCAAAACTTAACTACTAAAAACCTCCTGTCGGCTGGGGGCCTTACCGATAACATAAACAGTCAATTAACACGTTTCGTATGTGCATTCTATATGTGTATTCTACACTGTACTCTTATAAAAAAATAAGCTAAAGAAAAGAAAATGTTAAAGTCATAAAGAAAAGAAAATACATTTGCAGGACGATAGTGTATTTACTGGGAAAAAAAACCCACATTAAAGTGGACTCGTGTAGTTTAAACCTGTGTTGTTCAAGGGTCAACTGGAATTACAAACTGGTTAGCACATGGAAGAAAGCTCATGGTATTTTAGGAGGACAAAAGAGGAAAACTTAATTTCAGGTGGATACTACTGGTAAGCAAGGCCCTGCCCAAGGGGTAGAATGTAAGGAGATGCCAAAAGCACCACAGAAGATACTGCAACTCTCCTAGGCCATCAGTCCTCTGCCTTCTAGGGAATGGGTGGATTTGGAGAGGGAAAGGGGGCCATCGGCAAGGTACAGCAGGCACGTCAGAACAGAACTGCCTTGACTCTGCTTGCTAACTAAAAAGCCGAACTTATGAATTCACAAGCAGCCCAGAGGCCCAAGCTAAGTCTGATGCTGCAGATAAGGAACCTATAAGGGATCTAGCAAAATCTTCTATCTTGGTCAAAGAATAGTCCGTGGAGGTTGGGAGACAATTTCTTTTGGGAAGAAACATAAAGGTTGTGACTTAGAAACACAGAAGAGGAAGAGAGGATTAAAAAGAGTAAAAATAGAAAACTTACAAAAGTTTATATAAGCCATTCAAAACTCAAAGGCAAGGCTCTTGGCATTATCCCAACAGTAGCTGCCTTTTGGCCCTAGCAACTCTGGGTAGTAAGAAATAGAAGTCAACAGATGTGAGGGAGGGTCAGCTGATGCCCTATTGAAGTGGCCCATGCAGCTGCTGTGACAAGGCCAAGGCATGCCTCTATAGGCTACTATTGGCGGTACCTGGCCACAGAGATCCAAAGACGACCCACGGTGCATATCTGGGAGTCTTCCTCATCCTCCAGGGTGTAGTTCTCCCCCAGCACCTTCACGGGCTGCCCAGCATGGATGGTGCCACTCAGCACCCGGCCAAAGGCATGAAACTGAACTCCATCATCCGTGCTGTACATCTTGGTGGTGTGGCACATCAGGGGACCCTGGAGGTGGGGACAGAGTGCAGGCTCAACCACACATATTCCCAGGGTAAATACCCTTGTCTCTACCTCCTTGGACAGCGATGACACGGCTCTGCGAGGAGGCTGCCCAGACCTAGAGGAAGATGTGTCAATCTCCTGGGAAAATTCCAAACCATGCCCTACCCCCTGATTAGTTAGCAGATGTCATAGGCAGAGCAAAGCAAAAAAACTTTCTCTTTTCTCTAGGAGGATGAGGGCAATGGCGAAGAAAAGCAGGTTTAGGATGGCAGATTGCCACTGTTAACTTGCAAGATTACAAGACTTGCTTGCCCCAAATTCCCTCCGAAGATGTAACACAATTCTCAGTTGGTCGTTCATGCTGAGAAATTAGACTAAGAACAGCTGGGAAAAAAATTTTTTTTCAATTAATAAATTAATTATTTTTAAAGTAAGCTGTGTAGGTCCAATGTGGAGCCTGAACTCATGACCTGGAGATCAACAGTCATATACTCTACTGACTGAGTTGGCCAGGCATCCCTGGGAAAGACTTTTTTTAAGTACATTAAAAAAAAAAATTATTTATTTTTGAGAGAGAGAGAGAGAGAATCCGAAGCAGGCTCTGGGGCTCAAACCCACAAACCATGAGATCATGACCTGAGCCAAAGTGGGACGCTTAACCAACTGAGTCACCCAGGTGCCTCTGGTAAGGACTGTTTTAAAGCCCAAAGCTGACAAAGTTAGCTACCATTTGTTGAATGTTTACTGTCTATCAGGCACCATGCTAAACACGACTGTAAAACTTTCTTACTCTTATTTAACTTTTTAACAGTCATATACATACTATTATCCTCATTTTATCTACGAAGACTCTAAGAAAGATAGAATAATTTTCCCAAAATCATAACACTAGAAGTGGTAACCCTGGGTCTTGAATTCAGGCCTGTTTGACTTTGCTAACGGGGAGTGGCAAGCAAGGATGGAAAGAAGGCATCATTCCTATGACCAGAAAACAGTATCTCCAACAGAAGGAGGAAAAAAACCAGAAATGGGGGTTTTCCCTTACGTCAGGATCACAGTCGCTCATGGCCTCGCCGAGATCAGAATCCACACCGCCAGTGTAGGTGTGCTCAATCTTGGGCTTGGCGCCCACCTTTGGAGAGGGGATATGCTGCACACACATGTCCACAAAGCCTGTGGAGGGAGAAGACAAAGCCATTACTCTACACTCACAGGGGGAAGTGACGGTGAGTTATGGATCCACTGGTGATGGCCAGAAAGCTAAAAGTGCAGGGACTCATTTTCAGCTCTTAAGCTAGGGCACCGTGAGCCCAGCGGGAAGTACCACCTTGTTTCCTGGGAGTATGCTCTAAGAGCAAGAAGCAGGGCTCAATGGTTCCTTGAACTCAGGTGACAAAAATTTTCAAGTGTCTGTTATCAATTCATGATCTTTCATTGAATATAAGCACTTACTGAGCACTTACAATAAGTACCCCAGCTCTTTAGATCTACTCAGAACAATCCGAGTTGACTCTCTCTTCGGGAAATACTGCATATGTTTCTGTTCAATACATCATCCTGTTTTCTTTTCTTTTTTTTTTTAACGTTTATTTATTTTTCAGAGAGAGAGAGCAAGCGAGCAGAGGAGAGGCAGACAGAAAGGGAGACACAGACTCTGACGCAGGCTACAGGTTCTGAGCTTTCAGCACAGAGCACAGCGAAGGGCTGGAACCCATGAACCGTGAGATCATGACCTGCACCCAAGTCAGACGCTTAACCGACTGAGCCACCCAGGCGCCCCATCATCCTGTTTTTCTAACAGCCAATAGGCCATGAAAGAGAAAACCTCCATTAGCACCTTGGGGAAAGCAGATCTGTTTTCAGTTGGTGTCTCCTACGTCAGATGGATGGCCAGCCGAGAATGAACTACTAGAATCATGCACCTTGTGGATTTAGACACCTAATAACTACCAGAATCAAGAGACTGCTGGGGCGCCTGAGTGGCTCAGTTGGTTAAGTATCCGACTTCCACTCAGGTCATGGTCTCATGGCTCGTGAATTCAAGCCCCATGTCGGGTTCTGTGCTGACAGCTCAGAGCCTGGAGCCTGCTTCAGATTCTGTGTCCCCCTCTTTCTCTGCCCGCCCCCTGCTCAAGCTCTACTGTCTCTGTCTCTCTCTCTCAAGAATAAATAAACATTAAAAAAATTAAAAAAAAAAAGAGAGAATCAAGAGATTGCTGAGGGGACCCTTAGTCATTACCTTTACTACCTCCCTTATTTTACAGATGAGAAATTCGAGTCACAGAAGAATCAGGTGGCTGACCCAGGTCTCACCACATGGAAGGGCCAGGGCCACAATAGGAACAAGATTCAGGTCTTTCTCAATAGGTCCAGGGCTCATTCTATATATCGCCTGCCTTCTGTGCCACTTAAATAGAGGAGACAGGAGCTTAGGAGAAAAGAAATCTGAGCCTGCTGCTTTTCCCAGTATTTCCCATTGCTTATGAGTCTATTTACATCACTTATGAGTCTCGTAAAAATACTAGAACCTTGGAATCTGTTTCAACATCTCCTTTATTTGCACGCTCCTCCTGGTAGGGAAATATAATTGCTTTTGTTTCCCAAGATAGAGTTCTTGGTACCATCCACCAAAAGAAACAGCTAGGAGAAAAATGCAGGTGCTGTACATCCGGCTTGCAGTTTATTTAAAAAAGCCTTACATCTCTGCACATCACTGGAGTGAGGAAAAGGTCCCCCTGATACGTGTGACAAAACATGACAGTGATGGGAAGGGGGCCATGAGCTCTTTTGTTACCTGTGAATTCACCAAAGAATTTTTTGCAGACCAGCCTGAGCAGGGGGCGGATATTCAGCTTAAGCTCTTCTTTGGTCAGATGAATGCCAAGCTCATCCAGGGTCCTGGGGAGGCTGGTGTCCACGTCACCCACAACCTGTGTTGGTACCAAATACCATGTCAGCTGTAATGATGGCCCCAGCATGCTGCCTGCTATAGAGGGCAAGGGAAGGCCAAAGGGCAATTTGAAGGGTCACTGTGCCAAATTCTCTTCTACAGGGAGAGCTCTTGGCAAGGACAGCCATTTGGTTTGAGAGAAATCTTTGATATCTACTCTTCAAACCAATCCTGGGGGGAAAAAAGGGGTTGGTTAAATAAACCTGGCCCTCTCTGATGACCTTCAGTGCTGCCCCCTGGTGTCTGAAAAGCAGCATCTCACCCCACTCAGGAAATCCCTTACTCTTCCCTATTTAAGAGACTTCTCAGATTTAGAGGATCACTGTACTGGAAGGAACCAAAAAAGGTCACCTAGCAGTCCATCTGCTGGTAGGGCAAGGCCAAGCTAAATCATTCTCAGCAGACTCAAGGTCTCTAATGAGACAGACTCTATAAATTTCTTTTATTAATCCATTCCAGTCTGACACAAGATACTAAGTATTTTTCAGCACTAATAAATTTTAATCATGTTATTTTGTCTTGTTGCTATGTTTTACTCTTTTGTCAGCTGGTATGGCCACACACGTTTTGTGTATATGTGTGTGTTAACTGTACACAGTGCTTATTAAACACTTGAATATTTTATAACTGTCTTGGGAAAAAGGTCTACGAAAACTCCCGTACAGTGTTACCCTTTTACTTCTGCCTTTTAGGTAGCACAAATTCATGCAAACTCAATGTTATACTCTTTTCTTTGGAGAATCCTACATGTCTAACTGCATCCTTACCACTGTCTGATGCATCTTTTTTTTTTTTTTTTCAAAGTAAGTTATATGTCCAATAGGGGCTTGAACTCACGACCTGGAGATCGAGAGTTGCATGCTCTGCTGACTGAACCAGCCAGGCACCCTGTGATGCATCCTTTCCGAATTGACAAACATCACATATATACAGGCCCAGAAAAATCATTAAAAAGCAAGCTAATACAGTCATTCTTTTAATGGCTACAAAATACTTGAGATGTACCATAATTCATTTAATCAGATTCTCACTGATAAACATTTAACTTATTTCCAGTTTGTTTCCCCTCTTATAAAATGTGTGTGTATATGTATATATATATATATATATACATATACACACACACACACACACACACACACACACACACACTATACATAAACCAATTATATCTGTAAATCAAATCCCTACAACTGCAATTATTAGTTCTCAAGTATCAAATCTTTATACAAAATTTCTCCATTGCCTTTTCTTTCTTATCTTCCCCCCTTCACTCTGAAGGGCACTTCAGAGGCACTTAGAGGACCATAGATCTAGAAGACTGGTGAGCAACTATCCTCATGCTTAGTAAAACAAAACTGAGCAGGTTTAGGGGCAGGGGGAAGTCTGAGTTCACCAACTTTTGCGCTCTGTGTTTAGAAGGGCAGGCCTGAACCAGGCAGCCTGACATTCTCACCTGAGCAAGGATCTTATACAGAGGCTCCAAGATAAACTCCACAAAGCTCCTCTGGGAGCTGCTGGTTGGGGCCTTTTTTGTGAATTTTCGTCTATTAAGAGGGAAAAAAAAAAAAAAGAGTTATGGGTGGCCCAGCAGGGAGAAGGCTGTGTCACTGACCCCAAGGGTGAATTTCCTAAGTTCTGAATCTGAGCAGGGTGAAGGGAAAGGAATGTGTATGTGATCATAACATTTCCAAAGAGAGATTCCCAAGAGAGTATATGGTTATGACTCTCGTGCATGCCTGAGATGAGCTGTGAAGACCTCAAGAGAAATAGGCTCATCCTGTTAAGAGCTCATGAAGCCAAACCACTTAGAGGAGGATTATTCATGTTTAATAAAAAAGTAGGCTTTGGGGCACGTAGGTGGCTTAGTTGGTTGAGCGTCCAACTTTAGCTCAGGTCATGATCTCGCGGTTTTTGAGTTTGAGCCCCATATCAGGCTCACTGCTGTCAGCCTGTCAGCACAGAGCCCACTCCAGATCCTCTGTCCCCCCTCTCTCTGCCCCTCCCCTGCTTGCACTACCCCCCTACCCCTTCCCAAAAGGTAGGTTTTAATCTTAGGAACTCTTTCTCTGTCCTCACTTCCTGGAAAAATGTACGCCCCCTCTAGAGAGTCACTTCCCCACTCTACTTACGTTTTGGGGTTGAAGTAGATGTCACCCCAGAGTCTTTTAGCAAATTCCTGGTAGTTAATGTCACCTGTAAGAGAAGCCATATGATTATAATCTACCTAACAAAGTACTGTTTGAAAGTCTGCATACGTGGTTCCAGACGCGTAAGTGGTTTATAGCTGAGGAATTCTAGCACATTCCTTCCCAAGGTCTGGACATTTCCTTGTACCCAGGTAGGCAGACAAGGATACTGAGGCATAGACAAGGACAGGACTGGCCCAAATTAGACATGGCTACGGTGGAGCCAAAATGAGTACCCAGGCAGCTCTATGTCTAGGAAGCAAAGAACTGAGCTATGGACAAGGATACGGTTTATATGCTTTCCTTCAATAAAATAGGCCCAACCGCCCACATGCTATGCTCTGTCTGCACCTAAACACTGTTCCTTCCAGAAGTGGGGCTTAATGGCTCCTTCACTCTTCCCTGATCCACATAAGCTCTCTGCTGCCAGTGTGGGCAGTCTCCCAGCTGCAATGCCACGCTAAAGCTCAAACTAGCCCCAAGCCTCTGGAAGGCAGACATCTAGCCCTCTGGAGAGAAAACTCCAAAGCCTACCTTTATCTCATCTTTTACCAATTAATATTTTTGGTTTGACTGTAACTCTTAATCCTGGTCAGGCTGAGCCAACGGTGGCTTTTAGAATTCAAGATCGTCTCAATCAAGAGCTCCTGTTAGTCAATTTGGTCACATCACCAACTGTGTCATGAGTATTTCTATCTAGATGATTTCATTCAAGATGCCATAAAGGATATTCATCACCTTTCCCCTAAAGCCACGCTCCCCTTCACACCATTCCCCCTTTTATTGAGGCTACCTTGGCATTTCATCCAGGTTCAAAATCTTTTTCTTCCCCACTTTGCTAATTACCAAATTCTTCCCTTCTTTCCCACATTAGTTAGTGACTCTCTCTCCTTTGAACCACTGTGTCTTTTACACGCCTCTATTACTGCACCTTATAGTACAGCATACTCACTGGACTGAGTTGCTTGAGTGCTCACAAGAACTAGGCCTAGCATGCTGGAAGTTTAATAAACGCTCAGTGGAAGAAAGGGTGAACTTCTCTCTGGTTCTTCTCCTCCTTTTCAATCTCACTAATAACAGGAACCCAATATTCACGATCCTGTATCTGAATACTGGTGAAAATGTCTAACCGGGTGTTCCTTCCTGTACCCACCCTTCTTCCTGGCCTATCTTCTATCAGCTTTGCACGTGTCAGCCTACCCCAATCTTTAACAGCTCCCAACTGCTCACAGGATAAAGTCAAAATTCCTTAACCTGGCATTCCAAGCCTTCCTCAATGTGGTCCCAACCCAGCTTGCCCACAGCTTTACTTCAACTCTCCCCTTTGATGAAACAGTTCACCATTATTAAATAGGCCATGGGTCCAAACCACCCACCTCTGTGCCTCCTCTTTCAATGCTGAGAATCTAGAACTCCCAGCTCTCTACTCTCCACCTGCCCATGAAGCCCCATCTCCTCCTGCCCAAACTGATGCCATACACTGTTGTTCAACACTCTGTAGGTTTCCGTCTACCCCTTGGACAGAGTTCTTAGAAGTCAGAGATTGTTCCCCATGCGTTGCCAGATTCTTAGTTAAGAGGACATGACATCAACTGTGGAAGTACGGTGTGATGGAAAAAACATCAACTAGATTCTAGTCCCAAGCCCACCAGTAGGTTCTGTAGCCCTGGGCATAGTTTTCCCATATGTGGAATGAAGGGGAAGGACTCAATGATCTCTGATATTCCTTTCAGAGCTGACTTTCTAGAAGTCCCAAACATGACTTTTCTCCCCTCCCCTCCTTTGTAAAAATACAAGTATATAGAAAGAATGCAAATGGGGGAGAGGGGCAGAGGGAGAAAGAGAGAGAATCCTAAGCAGTCTCCATGCTCAGTGCAGAACCCAATGCAGGGCTTGATCCCATGACCCTGGGATCATGACCTGAGTCAGACGCTCAACCAACTGAGCCACCCAAGTGCTCCCATACACGGCTTTTCAGGAGGATGATATTGGAACCCAGAGCTGGCTCCTTTGTAAACTAACAGTGGGTTCCTAGGATGGGCAATACTTTCTCCTGAGGCTCAGGGCCATTTTCAATCAGAAACAAAATCATTAATACACTGTAATTACAGAAATGGTCTTAGATTTTGCTTCACATGCTGATGTAAAGAATATTCAGAGACCTGGAAACCAGAACCCTACTCAGGTAAGTTTTATTTATTATCCATCTACTTTCCCTTTTCAAAAGAGCCATCTAGAAACAACTAAATGTATACCTAACGATAAGAAAGTAGTTAAGTTATAGCACATCTATACAGGGGAGTAACTGGCAGTGACAGAAAATAATTCATAGAAATGAATTTTAATAAAATAATTTGGCCAATTCCTGTGATCTGATGCTGAGTGAAAATTTATCTGTGTTATGTTTTATATATTATACATGTCCCTCTATAAAATGTGATCTCATTTATGCAGAACACTAAACACAGAAAGAACTATAAAATGTTTGCATGGTTATGGTAATGAGGTTATGGGTGAGTTTTACTTTCTTGATGAGATTTTACTGTATCGTCCACGTTTCTACAATGAGGATGCAGTGGATAAGTACATATTAAAAAAAACAAACAAACAAGTTGCATTTGCCCATTTCTTTCACAAGAGCAAAGACGAGGTTGAAGGACCACTGAGTGGTGAGAACAGAAACACTGGAGCTCCAGTGCCTGTCAGCTGTGAGACCTCTCACCGGGCCTCTCCACAGTCCTCAAAACGGGGTGAATTATGACCTCCTCGAAAGGACAGTGTTGGACACTCAGGACATGGTTGTTACCGGAATCTGAGGGAATTGGGAGGCACAGAGGTAAAGAGCACAGGAGTCTCCTGGAGTTGGGAAGCCGGCCCCAGAGCTCTGTGCCAAGGTCCGGGACCTGTAAAATCATTCAGCTGGGTATCCCGGCGGACTGCAAATCCAACTCGAGCTCTCGAGTAGGCCTACAAAGTGTCCATGTGCTTACAGATGGCTGGAGAGACAGCTAGAAGAAGCACCACTAGTGACAGACATTCCATCCCTGAGGAAGAGGTCTGAAAGGGCTTTGTGGCCATGGAGAATTACTCTCGGAAAATATCTGTCTCACGCTAACAAAGATTCTTATTCCTAAAATGAGCTCCCTTTTCACCCATTTCTTCCACAGTCACCTTTATTCTTCTATTCTTTAGAAGCCACTTGGCCCAAAGAAAGGGTCTAGGGGCCAAAAAGAGACCGAAACGTGACAATAATAGTTGATAAAATGCTCCCCCAAACAGGGGACCCTGGCATGAAGCCAATTCTAAACTCTTCAGCAGGAAAGGCACCCGTGACTCTGGGGAAGCTGGGAGACAGCCCGCCAGCCAGAGCTTACCGAAGGTGTCAGCATAGATCTTGGCAAAGGAGCCGAGTGTGAAGCAGATGCTGTACTGGGAGCTGGAGAAGCAGACGTTGCCCAGGAGTGGGGAAAGGATCAGGTTCTCATCGGTGGAGTACATGCTGAAACAGAGACAGTCATGAGTGCAGAGTCGGGCTGTGCAGCAACATCAACATAATGCCAAGGGTGAAGGGCGGGGACTCTGTGTCATCACCCCTCTCCAGCCCTTGTTCTCAGAAGGGGCTTGCATAACACACTTAAGCGCTGCCAGCGGCCTGGCCCAAGAAAGTGACATGATGGAGTTGTCCCCTAACTCCCAGTAACAAGCTGACTTCCCAGTGCTGGGAACTTCATGCATGATCCTGGAGAAGTTAACTGCACCAGACAGACAAGGGGAAACTTGGAGGTCAGAGACAAAGCTCTTGAAACACAGGAAAGGAATCTGATGTGAAAGTGGAGTACCTTTTTGAGAAATCGCAATTTCACAAACACAAACAGACATAAATATCAGAAGTGAATAAAAAACAAAAGAAAAAATAAGGGCAACTTTGCTCCCCACTCTCACTGCCCAGTTCCTCTTTATTTTATTAGGCGTTGTTATACAAATTCACATGAAAACTTTATCTTAAAGGCCACGCAGAAGCCACAGCATCCCAAGTTCACTAAAGTTTCAAAGAAAACCAGCTGTATACAGGAATTCAATCCACAACCCTAGCCTCACTGACAGATTGTTTTATGTAATTTCTTAATTTAGAAGTGAAAGTATTGGCTTCTAAAGAGCAGTTTCCTACCTTATTCCACCATATCCCAAGTTATGTTCCCCAGAGGCAACTGCTTTCAACTTTCTTAAAGCTGCTTTCAGAGCAATGGTCCTCATATTTCTAAATAATATGCTCACGTTGCTGTTTCTTGTTTAGAGGCTGAGATCAGACTTCTTATTTTGGTGATCAGGATTTAGCCCCATCCTCTATTTTAAGGTAATAAAAAAGTTTATCACTTCATCTTTGGGGTTCCTGATATTATGTTGGTCTCCAGTCATTCTCGGCCGTTCTGGAGCCAGGGAGAAGAGATCACTGTTGAGAATTAGTACTACATACGGGGGAGGCTCCTGAAGGTAAATCTGTCTCTGGCCACGGAGGTACCATCCCCAGTCCTTAACTGGAGAGGTGTTCTCTCAATAGGACAGCTTCATCCTGGGCCCTTTGAGGGGCCACAATAAGTCATCCAGTCCTTCTGTCAGCCCGCAGATAAGACTGTCTTTATGATATATTTAACCTATTCTTCAAAGTCACCTTGAAACTGTATTGTGAGGTCTCCCAGCCATCGCTCATACTTATTAATATAAGCCTGAAATCCATCTTGCTGAAAAGCAACTATGTCCACAAAAACAACAGCCAATAGTTCCTTCACTTACCGAATCTGTGTTAATAACAGCAACTAACATCATTCATGGGGCAGGTACTGCATGCTAAGCACTATGCTAAGTGGGTTACATCAAATATCTACCTGATTTCTTAAAAAAAAAAAAAAAAATTTTTTTTTTTT